GAGTTTCACCAATGATTCCCAAATGTATTATCTCCAGCAAAAATTTCTTCTTGAGCTTTACTCTTATACATCTACCAAACACTGAATCTCAACTTGAAGAAGTTGGTATTATGTACTCATTAAAAGGCAACTGGAGCCAGATCACCTGAATTCAAATCCTAGGTTCCCCTTATTGACTATGTGAGCTTTGACAAGTTTCTCAAAGTCTCTGTACCTTGTTTGTTTGTTTGTTTTTAAAACTGTTATATGGGGATGATAATATAGTATGTGCCTTATAAGACTGACGTGAGGAATAAATGAATTAAAACATATAGAGGACTTAGAAGAGTACCTAGCACAGGTAAATGTGGTAGAGATGCTAACTAATACAATTTCCTCTCTCTTGGTTCATAGAAACTATATTTCCCAGTCTCCCCTAAAGTAGTTAGGACATGTGACTGCATTCTGACTGGGTTATGGGATAAAAATTATGCATGCCACTTCCAGCCCTGAACAGCACATCCCCTATGCGTTCATTTATATTTTCTCTTTCCTTTCTGGGGTGATCTCAGAAGCATCATCTAAAGAAGGACATTCTCTTGAATTTTTTTTCCAATCCTCACTTGAGGATATGTTTCTATTGATTTTAGACAGAGAGGAAGGGAGAGAGAGAAACATCAATGTGAGAGAGAAACATCAATCTATTGCTTCCCATACTCCCATACATGCCTCAACTAGTGATCAACCATACAACCTGAGTATGTGCCCTGACCAGGAATCAAACCTGTGACCCTTCAGTGCTCTGGAGATGCTATAACAACTTAGCATTAGTGTCCAGGGCTAGCTTCAATTTCTGAGTCACTACTTGGAGGAGTATCTCAGGGAACCTAAGGAGCACTACATCAGGCTATGATATAAATAAGAAACTCTTATTGTGTTAAGGCATTAATATTTAGAGGGTATTATTTTCAGCATTTAGTATTAATAACTCTGACAAAATATTATGTAATGTATTGAAGCACCTTAAATATACTATATACCACAATGAACTCATGAACTTCCCTCCACACTTAGACCTCTTCCAGTGTTGCATATCTCGTTGAATGACTTCATCACCCATTCAGTTGAGCAATCTGGAAACCTAAATGCCATCCTTAGTTCCTTTTATAACTTCAGTATCATTTTTTAAAAATATATGTTTTTATTGATTTCAGAGAGAAGAAAGGAGAGGGAAAGAGAGATAGAAACATCAATGATGAGAGAGAATCATCAATCAGCTACCTCCCACATGCTCCCAAGCCCAAATGGGGATCCAGCCCAAAACCCAGGCATGTGACCTAACTGGGAATCAAACTGTGACCTCCTGGTTCATGGGTTAACACCCAACCACTGAGCGATACCACCCAAACACTTCAGTATCATTTTAAATGAATTGCTATACCTTCTCAATTTTTTCTCCTATATAACTTAAGACTTCTTTCCAATAGCACTTCAGTAAGCTCAGTCTGAATTCAAGTGAACTACTGCAAAATACTTCTTAACTGGATCCCTTGTTCACCCTTGCTCCTCTTCTGTCCATTCTCTACCCCACATCTAGAGTTATCTTGTTAAATACGATCATATCTCATTGTTGTAAGTCATTCAATGACATTCTGGTGGTCTTTGCTATGGACTGAATTGTGTTCCCTCCAAATTTATATGTCAGAGCCCTAGTTCCCAATATGATTATATCAGGAGATAGGGTCTTTAGGGGGTAATTAAGGTTAAATAAGGCCATAAAGATTGGACCCTAATTCACTAGGACTATAGCCTTATTTTTTTAAAGGAAGAGATCTTTCTCTATCTTCCTTCCTCAGACCCCCTTGATGTGAAGATACAGTGAGAGGTGGTCATCTGCAAGCCGGGAGAGAGCCTTCACCAGAACCAGACCAGCCTCCAAAACTGTAAGAAAATTAATTTCTGTCATTTAAGCCACCCAGTCTATGGCATTTCGTTATGGCAGCCTGATTCGATTAATATAGTCTAATTATAAAAATGAAATCATTAAGAATTAAGTGAACATCCCTACCAATTCTGCTTTATCTTATACCTCCCAGTCTCTAGTTCAAATCATAGCAACCCTAAGAGCTTTTCATTTTCTTG